AACAAGGCACCAGGAATTGATGGAATAAAAATTGAAATCTTTCAAGACACTGAGGTGGCACAGGAGGCACTCATTCATCTATGCCAGGAAAATTGGAAGACAACTATCTGGCCAACTGATTGGAAGAGATCCATATTTGTGCCCATTCCGAAGAGAGGTGACCCAACAGAATGCGAATATCATTGGACAAACTCTTTGATATCCCATGAAAGTAAAGTTTTGCTAAAGGTAATACAAAAATGGCTATAATCATACATTGACAGTGAACTTCCAGAGGTTCAAGCTGGATTCAGAAGAGGCTGTAGAACGAGGGATATCATTGCTGATGTCTGATGAATCTTGGCTGAAAGCAGAGAATATCAGAAAGATGTTTACCTGTGCTTTACTGACTACGCAAAAGCTTTCAATTATGTGGATCATGACAAGTTATGTAAAACATTGTGAAGTACGAGTATTCCAAAACACTTAATTGTGTTTATGAGTAATCTGTACAAGGACCAAGAAGCAGTTATTCAAACAGAACATGGGAACGCTGAAAGGTTTATAATTTAAAAAAAGTGTGCAACAATGTTGTATTCTTTCACCATATTTATTCAACCTGTATGTTGAGCAAATAATCCGAGAAGCTGGGTTCTATGAAGAAAAATGTGACATCAGGATTGGAGGAAGACTCATTAACAACCTGTGATATGCAGATGACACAACTTTGCTTGCTGAAAGTGAAGAGGACTTAAAACATTTACTGATGAAGATCAAAGGGCACAGCCTTTGGTATGGATTACATCTCAATGTAAATAAAACAATAATCCTCACCACTGGACCAATAAACAACATTCTTATCCACAGAGAATGAATTGAATTTTTCAAGGACTTCATTCTTCTTGGATCAACTATCAACACTCATAGAAGCAGCAGTCAAGAAATCAAACAACATATTGCATTAGGCAAATCTGTTGCACAAGACCTTTTTAAAGTGTTGAAGAGCAAAGATATCAGTTTGAGGACTAAGGTGAGCCTAACCCAAGCCATGGTATTTTCAATAACCTCATATGCATGCGAAAGCTGGACAGAGAATAAGGAAGATCGTAGAAGAATTGATGCTTTTGAATTATGGTGTT